AAATGGACATAAACAGCAAGTCGCTATGAGTTTTATGTTAGTTTTTTTTTCAGAGAGAATCTACATGGACTTCTGCAGCAAGTCGGATGTTTTTGTGAGACAATCTAGATGATTTTGGAGGCGGACTTCGACAGTGTCAGGACCAATCAGGGCTGAGAGGGTTACAACACCCCAGCAGAAAGACCGAGACACTCGATAAAGATTCCCCGCCCGACTGCTACACCACAGATGCTCGTCCTTTCATCTCAGTTGAAAAATAAATCAACATTAATTTAAAACAACAAAAACTGCAATTTCCCTATGTCAAATCTTTGCTTAATGACTTCTTTCCTACACCCTGAGATATAATTATATATATTTTTAAAAAATCGAGTACAGAGCTCCTTTCAGAAGAAATCGATTGATACCAAAGAGCCCAAATTTCAGCTGAAAACAGCTGTTATGGGTTTGCTGACACGACATTTTCAAGAGGGATCAAAAGATTAGCCATCCATTTTTCGACATCACGGGAACAGTTCGTCGATGACTATCATGAGCGGAGGGTAAAGTGGAGGTGGAGGATTTACAAAGACAAGCAATACCTAACTTTAAGATCTGGAAATGCTATTTAGAAAGCTGGCTTGAAACAAAGAAATGCGTAGGTGGTACAACCCACCCCCACAAAAACAAACAAAAACATACCAAGAAAAACAGCTTGAGATTTTACGCCGACTCGATGCACGACCTAGACTTATTGCTCGGATCGTTGGCGCACCGTAAATTTGTGTTCGTGTAGCGAGTTCCATCAAAACTGTGATCTCAGAGGCAAGACTTTCTGGTCAGGTCACCTCAATTATGCAAGAGACAGACGAGAGAGAGGGAGAGAAATATGGGGACAGACAGACAGACAGACAGACAGACAGACAGACAGACAGACAGACAGACAGACAGACAGACAGACAGACGGACGGACGGACGGACGGACGGACGGACAGGCTGACAGACAGGCGGGGGTGGGTGGGGCCTTATCATTCTGCTCTTACATGGGACACCAGCGTCCACCTCTCCTGATCCGTCGTCTCCAGTTTGACCCTTCGCGGCGAGTTCGGCCGACGCATTGTTGGAAGTCTGGTCTGAGTGTGAGGGCGCCGATTGGCCAGTCGACTGCTTCGCTTGTGACGAACTGAGGACTGATGATCAGGAGAACCAAGTAAAAACAGTAACTATTAGCAAGCGTTTGTTTTGTTTGTTTAGTTCAAGATTCTACGCCTTTTGAAAGTAATACTGGAAGGGCTTACCATCACCTGTGTTATTTTTTAAAGAATTGTAATTGACTTTGTAATGAGACAGCAAATTCGCAAAGACATCGAAACAGACATTACATGGGCAACTGACTTTTGGGAATTATATTTTGCGGATGACATTTGCCAGTCAAAGACAACAGAGCATGAGATGCGATCAAATTTGATGAATTGGAAGGATCTGCATAAATAGTTAGCTTGCAATATTTTTTTTCTCAAAACAGAAGTGCTGTGATTATCACCAGAAACTACTCCCATCATTCATTATGGAGAACCTCTGGCAGAAATTAATACGTTCAAGTTTCTTCGCAGCATTATTTCTAAAACATGCAGACTTTATTGACGAGTTCCACTTCCAAAAAAAACTTTAAAAGGCATGGATCGATTTTATTATATGTGAAATTTTAACCCTTCCAGCCCCAGCCATTTTTGTGCACTCCCTAACCCCAGTCCCAGTATTTAAGAAAAAGAGGCATGCATTCAAAAAATTGATGCAGATTCGGTACAGCCCGAAGCTGAGAATATGTGTTCTTGGGACGGTTGGGGGGTGGGGGGGGGGGGTACAAGCACTGCTGTAAATATACGTGCATCGGGCTGGGAGGGTTAAGAAGTGTTTGGAATTCATAGAGTATCTCACTGAACACTAAATTAAAGCCACACACGGTTTTTTTGGGGGGTCTCATGCAGTTTGGGTCGAGACAATGTTTTTTTGGTTTTAAAAATCTTCCCTTAAAAACTATGTGCTAAATCGAATGTCAGTGCTCCCAAAGCTCTATTTCAAAGAGATAGCTCCATAAAGTTTGTGATGTTGTGAGCCAATACAATGCTCTGAAGCAATTTTGACCTGTTCTTGCTCCTTTCCTCAAAACGTTCATCTCTAGGCTTTAAAAACTAAAAACTAAAAATGAAAATGGAAAAATATTCAAGATAAAGACATGGAATTTGGAGGATAAGTGCACCCAAAAATTTCAAATAAAATGACGATAGCTTTTTCTTATTTTAGAAAATATATTAAATGAGGTTTTTTACTTTGCTATTTTGACAACTTTTTTCCCCGCTAATATGCAAGTCTTCTAAAAGTAAAAGTAATGAAATAATTAATATTTACAATTACAAGGAACTCTAGCGTCATTTTCTTAAGATTTGTGAGCAAATTACAAATATTAAGTAATTAGTTCATACATAGCGTGGATAGTTTTTGAATTTTTAGCTTTTGAAAATGGTCCTTCAGATAGCCTGATTTCACTCTAATTTGTCATTCGTGCTATTATGTAACTGACAATGATTCTCAAATATGAAAATTTTTAATCCTTAAATGGACTACTTTGAGAAAATAAGAAAAAATAAATAAATTGTGGATTTTGGTGTAGAGTGTGGCCTTGTAATAGCAATGTTTTGACGGTACTGATGTATGGTTCAGAGATATGGGGGGAAAACCAAAGCAATTCAACAAAAATTAAAACTTTTTCAAAAATATTTAGGCAAAAAACTATTTATTAAAGGGAATTGGTTTATCACCTCTAAGGAAATGTTGGGAAAAGCTGTGATTGAAGACATCAAGAGGGCCATAAAAAGGAGAAGATTGGGATATTTGGGACAAGTTTTGAGAATGCCAGAATCGATAATTGTCATATCAGATATGGTACAGCAGACTAAAATAAGGAGAAAGAAAAAGAGACAGACCAACTAGCAGTTACAGAAACACGACCAGGTATGAGGTAATCAGCCAGAGCCTGGATGTGGCAAGGTTAAAGGAAGTGGCCAGATAAAATCTACTCGTATCTTTATGAACGCGTGTGTGTGTTCGTGTGTGTGTGTG